TTTTAAATATTTAATCTACGCCCCTGATAGGAATACTGAAGAAAGAGGGCTACAATCGTTATACCTAAAACTGCCTACTTTTGCCACCGCGGATCCACGCCATTTTAAAATGCCGCCAGCTTCCAGCGTCAGGCCTGTACCAACTTTGTACAAATGATTTAAATATGAATTTGTGGATACTATGTAACAATATGTTTTTTGGGTACAAAGAAATGCCAGGACAAAAAGGAGTTCCAGGGGCGTGAAAAACTTATACAGGAGTTGAACTTGCTGTAACCGAAACTATTGTAGAAATTCGCGATTCTTAGGATTGTAATTCGCCAAATATCCCGTTATATGTCGAAAAATCGCTAGCACCCCGGTATTTTAGAATGGTAATGTAGCGGTAACACCGTTAAAATTAATTTTTATATTCGTTTTTATTGAATTTTTATTATTATTATTGTTTTGTAAATATTCTTCTAAATCTATTTGTAGACTTACAACTTCTTATCTTGTGCATGCCTTTGTTTCCTTTCAACCTAGATTCTATTGTTCTACTATCGTTAGCCTTTACCTAGAATTTCATCTTCACCTGTACTTGCATGCACCCCTTACTAATTGCTGTACTTTCCCTTAATTACTTTTCCTAAAATTCTATATTGCTCGCTCTGAGTGCTATAAACCTGTACCTTCAACTTTACTGTTCATACTGTTCCTTCTTGAATATTCTATCTCTTTTTACTAACAATTCAGCTGTATATAAACCCCTAAATTTCCATACTAACCACTCTGCGGTCAACCTTCGAGTAAGTCTTTACCTTTCGTTTATTACATCTATACTATTTAATTACGTTATTTTTGCTGTGTGTTTATTTTGTGGTGTACCTTTGATTTATCTTATTGTTCTTTGCTTTCTGTGTTTGTTTGTGTGTAGTGTTTTTTTTGTGTGATCCAAATTATACTTTTATATTTTTTATCGGACTATTTTTTTTTATTGTTGTTCTTGTGGTCATTAAACAAGACCCCGATAAAGGAAAAGAGGTTGTAGATCAATATCACGAAAAAACGAAAATGTTACTAACCTGCGGTTTTGATGGCAATATGTAAGGGCTCCTTTCACAAAAACGCTGGTGCCACTAGTTCGCCAGACGTGTTAACTGGTGATTGAATAATAATTTGTGTCTTTCTTACGTCAAAATAGCGTTATTTGTTTAGCCACCGTGGCCGCTGTAACGACCTACCTCTGTCACGACCAGCCCCAGTCTCCCCTACCTAGTAAATTTATTTCTGTTGGGATTTTATTTTTACAAATTCGGGTCCAAATTGTAATTTTTATTATTTTCACTTATGAAGCAACGGGCTGGTGGGATAAATTGTAAATATCGCTTTAATATTTAGGTATATTTTCGTTTTCCATTTTCTCTGTGAATGTTCATATAAAAATAACATGCTATGAATGTAATATATAATATGTAGGCTGGTATTTTCTCAGACACAAATTTTTCTAATTATAATATGTAAACGTATTAGCTTTGAATACTAATAGCGTGATACTGACATAATTTTGTATGCCGGAAGTTACAAGTATTTATACCTACGCATTTTACAGTTAATGTAGATGTAATGGGTGTTTTTATTTAAACTTTTAAATGCCATTCGTAAAACAAGAAATCACTAGTCAATTAGGTACCTTGGTAATGGAATTAATTAATAAGATTAATTTACATATTTTAGTAGCAAACTTTACTCCCACTGTAGAAGTTTGTTTTCAGTAGTGATTTTGTATGACAAATATTAAAGATTATAGCAGTTTCCTACTAATTTTTGAGTGAATAGCAGGTATTTACAATTTCAATAAACAAAAAGACAATACTACAATAACATCACACTGGACATTTTAAATTTTTATCGAAATTCTGTATAATTATTTATTGATTTTGTAAACGTAAACGAATTGTCTCCAACTAAGCTACATCACTAAAAATAGTAGCTTAGCATCACCTACGCCGTGTTTCTACCTAAAATAGAACAACGGATACCTAATAGACTAATATATGTATAAAACTACGTAGGTAATTCTGAAAATATAATCGATGAAGCCAAATACGATTAAATAAAAAATAATAAATTGTACTGCTGTTGGTTGTTTCATACTTTAGACTATAATGGGTTTATAAACATTTTTTTAGTGTAAATTGTTAGACCTCCTTATTTGGGGGTTGTTTCTGAAAGTCTAGAAGTAGACCGTGGAATTGTAAAGCTTTTACTAGTAATTTTCTTTTCATTATTTTTCTTATTTTAGTAGTTTAATGATTTCATCAAATACAATTGTAGTCCTTAATGGTCTTTCTTGAGAAGCTTTTTGCAAGACTAGGCGTAAATTAATAAAAATTAAAGCTCAGGTAATAGGTAATAAACGCACAACGGTTTTAGATCGAAAGTTACCACATTAATTATCTCTTTCTTTTTACTTTCTAAACAAATACATAACGCAAACTGACAACCCCAATTCCATTAATTTTGATGTTTGCTAAACTTTCTTTTGTAACAACGGTAGCAGTTGGTATCAACATATGTTTTGTTGATATGGTTAGGTCATAAAATGATTTTGGTGCGATTCACTGTGGTAGGAGGCTATTCCTGACTCGTTCACCTTGGCTTGAAGAAACAGAACGGTGCCAAAAGGTTCTGAAGATTATTTAAGAATCATTAGGTGGTATGGGCACGCTGCAACTGCACGAAAGATTATTACTGAAATTTCTAGCACCAGAATTACGACTTTTTAGAAGCCATTTTAATATTATTTATTTCGAATATGTTTCACAGAAAGAAAATAATTTTAAAATACTCAAATGAATTTATTTCCATTTATTTTTGGAAATTTATCCAAGGTTTTATGACCAACATGTAACTCACGGTCTTATTTTCAAATACAAGGTTAATATACCAACACGACCTATAAATAGCACCTATGATTGGATCCTATTAAAAAATTATGAAGAATGATGAAAACAATGGGAATGAAGTAAATACTGACAAGAGCTTTTGAAAAACTATAAATGAAAGCCTTCCAGGATCTGCGAAAGAGATCAAACCCGCGCGTGGAATTATCGGAAATATTTTCGAGTGTGGCATTTCCTATAATCTCAATATATTTTCCTAAGAGTCTGTATTCTTCCGGCTTCAATAGGTAACTGTCGATACCTAGTAAACGATTATGATCGTTCTAAGCAATGCTATCAAAAAAAATGCCTCCAACCAAATACAACAAAGAAGTAAGATTGTAAGACAAAAGGAATGGTTAATTTCATGAATGTATGCTAATTGGCCAAAGGAATCAATAAAACTAAGTATATAGTTCGTTGTCTTAGCT